GGAAAGAGGAAGACAGGAGCTGAGCCCAGTACAAAATCACAACTTCAGTGACTAAGCAAGGAGTGCGGCCAAGGCACCTGCTAGCCAGCATATTCCCCCATTCCCACTCCTACCCTTCCCAGAGAAGACACCAGAATGATAGCTGTGACTGGCATCTCCCTCTGAGCCAGCACAGCTGCTACCTCCTTGCCCACTGGGTGGAACCCCAGAAGTGAGAAGACAGGATAGAAATGTCCCCACCACGCTACTTACAAAGCGGAAGCAGCTGCGGACACTAGGCTCCACATTGCTGCCTCCAAACGCTGCCACCTCTCCCAGCTGGCGGGGAACCTGGATGGCCTCATGCAGCAGGATGCCAAGGTGCCGCTGGTCACACAAGCCACCAGGGTTTGCCACCTGGCTAAAGAGGTCTTTTGGGTGGAAGGGCGAGCCCACAGAGACCAGAACAGGGGCAAAAGAACAATAGCACAGACATATTACTATACATGTAGAAGCTGGGGAGAGAGCTCCCCCCTCAATGCCTGGGGGTATGGAGATGCAAGTTTCAGTGGTGGGTGAAAGGTATGAGGAAAGGAAGCAAAGCTGGGAGCTCTTCCCTGAAACAGGGCCCCTTTTTGCCTCAGCTAAGTTCAGAGTGTATGTGTGTGTATGTGCATGCAACCCAGCAGTAAAAACACAGTCCCCAGCCTACTAAATTAGGTGTGGGATTTAAAGAACGGGAAGCAGTGAGGCAAAGGGATTAGTCGCAGCAGGAAGGCTGCTTCTCTCTGCCCCCAACAGGCAGTCCTTCTTGCCCAGAAACTTCACAGATCCAGGAAACCTCCCCTGCTGGAACCCAGCTTTTCCACGGAACCCCCAGGGAATGACTCACACTGGAATTTCTCCTTCACCTCCGTGCCACACATACATGCAACGCCAGTCTTGAAGGAGAGAGCTCGCATCTTCCCACTGCGACCACTGAAAGCAAAGGGCAAAACACTTAGCTCCCCTCAATTTTGTGAAGGTCATTTTCCTAACAGAGCTCAATTGGTGTCTGCTGGGAGCTCAGTAGTGAAGTTCCCTTGTGGCAATGCCTCTTTGATGCCAGCTGGCCACTTGCAAGGCGAGCTTCTTCACAGCAGTGCCCCGTTTCTGCCAGCTGGACCCCAGCCCCCGGCAGTGAGAACTGCCTCATAGCACTGCCCTAGGAATGCCTGCCAGAACTCCATCAGAAAGGTTTCCCTCAGCATGGTTCCTGGGCTGCATGCCAGCTCCCAGTTTCATGGTTCTGTAACGAGTCCCAGAGGCAGACAGCAGATACCTATCGAATACATTGAGAAGCCAGTTGAGACTCATGTCCACGCAGAGTGGAACATTGACCAGGATGCCCCTCTCTTCCTCCAGACGCTCGTAGAGAGCTGTCAGGCAGTGGATGACCTCAACCACGTCCATTACCCGGTCGCTGGGCTGCAGCTCATGCTCATTGAAGATTTCCAAGGCTGTGGCCAAAGTCACCATGTCCACTGAGCAGGCAAGGGGCAGACAGAGCAGAAACCAGAGGAAAACATTGTAAGATAAAGAACAAAAACATCATTGGTCAGAGCTGAGAGGAGAGGGATCTACAGGTATTTAGAGGAGCCCTTTCCTCTAAGAACACTAGGGCAGAAGTGCCTTTGGGATTACACAAACACAGAGAGACAATCATCTTAAAACTCATGCTTCTGCCTGGTCTTCTCCTCACCTGCTGGTACAGCTAACACCCAAGTTCAATCACCAAAAGACTACAGGAAATACAACACTTCTCTAGTATCCCATTGTGCCCAGTCTGTGCATTGGTGAGCACTATCTGTGCCATTGGTCTCATTACATAGTGAGTCAGTTTCCTCTATTGCCTGTGTGGATCTTACACAGCAACAGAGGAGATGGAAGAAAAGACACATGAAAGAGGAAAATGGGACTGAAAAGCCACAGAAGCCATAGAAGGAGTCAGGGCCAGGAAGCACCTGCACAATCCTTGAACACAATTGGTGAAACTGACTTGATCAAGCCAACACTAAACATTGCCTGCTTGTCCCCACAACTGTTCCTGCCCAGTGCAGGGCAAAAGGAGGTGCAGACATGCAGGGAGAGCGTGGTTACTTACATCTCAGAGCCTTCTGGACACGGCGCAGCTTCATGGCCGTCCGATATGCAGAGAACTTGAAGTTGTTCAAATCAGCTGCAAAACAAAGAGAAACCCAACTGTGCAATTTTTTTTCTTCAGGGGCAGGAAAAGGAATATTTGCCGATTACAGCTTTGCAGGGGAAATGCCATCTGAATTAACACAAGACCCAAGCAAGAGGGTCCAGTCTACAAAGGACAGAGACAAAACCCTCTGTCAGGGGCAGAACATGAGTTGAAGTGAGCATGTGGGAGTGAGAGGGCAAGCAGCACAGCATCACACCCGGGGCTGAGATGAGTCCCATCCAGACTCTACCCCAGAGACATTGAGGAGAGCCAAACAGAAGGCATTTTTCCACTTATCAGGGAGAGTTGGGGGCTGTCCTGCATCCCACTGCACAAGCACCTGGATGGAAGCAGTGTTCTCCAGGGGGTCCTTACCCAGTGTCTGGTACAACTCTGTCATCTTGGGGTGGTCCCAGCACGTTGTCTGAGCCTGATGGCTGAAAAAACAGAAGGGAACCAAACAAACAGAGAACCAAACGTTCAAACATACCCACAGGCACAAGGATGCAGGTGGCCATTCTCCTCCTTTTCATCCCAAGGGTGCCAAAAGGATGTACTATATTTCCTGGCTAAGAAGCCCCCATCGTCACACAACAGACAGTTGAGACCCCCAGGACCTGCCTTCACTTAACTATTCCAGTCTCTCCACCTAAGGATACTGGTGCAGAGCAGTCCCACATGCTACTTTTCCCAGGACTGAACCTGTCCAGGCAGGGCAATCCCTAAGGGGGCGCAAATTGGGATGACCATCCCAGGCCCCGTGCTTTGGGGGGCCCCATGAAGCCGGGAGGAGCAGTGGCTCTGTGTCCAGCCGCTCACTACCCCGCCACCCCCTCCCCTGCCAATGGTGGCGGCAGCTTCTTCAGGTCTGGGATCAGAGCAGGGGTGGGGATGGGGCCCCGCATGGGCTGATTTGCCCTGGGTCCCACACCCTGCTCAGGCGGCCTCTGTGTCCAGGGGATCCCCCAGCACATTCAGGCACTCTGGCGGGGGACTCCATCCCTGCAGGATCAGGAGCAACAAACCTTTCATATACCCAGCTTGTTCCTGGCTTCACTAGGAAATGCCCCTTCAGCCCCACCTCTGGTGTCTTTCCATCTACTGCACTCATCTCCCTGTCAGGAAGGCAAGTCCTGTTCTATGACATCTCCATACCTGCCATCAGCACTTGGGGGTGTCTAACAGTAGTGCACAGGCCAAGCTCCTCCTCCCCACCTAGACCACGCACTCCACCCTATCCTAACAGTCTGTAAATGTCACCTCAGTAATGCCTCATGGCTACCTCAAATTTCCCCCAACTGGGGATCCTGCAAGGCTGCATGGCTCTGGCCCCTAGCATAGGGATCCAGCTAGATCTGGAATGGATAGGATTTGTGTCCACCCCATCAAGACTTATTGAACTTGAGGAGGTGGAGGGGAGGAGGGAAACCACACAAATGATGGAAAAAGAACAAAGAGCAAAGGAAAGCGAAACAGAAAACCACATGTAGGAAGAGATCAGGATCAGTCAATGCTCTAGCGTTTGACCGCACACTCACTTGATATAGTACGGCACTTTGTTGGGTGAAATTGCTCGTTCCCAGGGGATCTGGACAGAGGCTGCAAACAGAGACACAGACAAAAGTAATGCAGACAGTCTTCCAGGTCAAAATCCTCTCTGAAGAGAGACTGCAGTCTGTCAAGTGCTGGTCTCAGGGAAGACAGCAGAGATAGGGAAACTGGGGAGACTATGAAAGCAGAGGTCTCTGTGCCCCCAACATCCACTCCTCTGCATCTGGCTATAGGCAGAACCTGGGACACTGCCACTATCAGAGGCTGTAGTCACTGGTCAGTGTGACCCCTTGTTTAAATAAGACTCCAGTGGTGCACAGTGATGTATTAGATATGAGTGCATATTTGCGAGCATGTGTACAATACTTCTCTGGATCTGGGAGGATGAGGCACCTGCCACTCCTAAGTCCCTGGCTGACATTAAAACAATGGCACAGCTGGGATTAGAGGAATTTTCTGGCACACGTGCCACAGCACAACAGGAGGCACAATGTTTGGGATGGATGATAAAATTCCTCCAATCCTAATTATGCTACTGCTGAGCAGCCTCCAGCCTAATTCTGCAGACAAGGCAGAGGGCAGCTCTGCCCCAGATGCAGGACTGCCCCCAAGCCCCCCCCACCCCCCGCCAGGTTCCAGACCTGGAGTCCCAGTATCCTGTGACTTTTAAAAGTCAGGTGTGCTTTCAATCTAGAACCAGACCCAGGACTGTTGGGGACAAGTCTAATAATCAGCTGATTGTAAGCCCATAGCTACATGCATGACTTTTAGAAGTCCTAAGGCTCTGAAACCCTGGGATCAGGGAGCCTCTCCCCCACCCCAGGGTCCCTATGCCATCTAAAAATATTGGGTTCAGCTCACCTCCATACAACCCAGCATTTTAGAGTGCCCTGCAGGGCAAGGCAGAAAAGGCTACGGGGTTTGGGAAATTTCTGGTTCCCAGAGGCTGCAGCCCCTTGACTCCCTCTGCCAGGGAACCTTACAACTCCATTTTCCTAGCCATCAGTATTCAGCATCAGGAGCAGAGTTGTCCCAGTCCTGATGCTAACCCCCCCTGTCCCCATGCCAAATCTGGCAGTCAACTGATTGTCAGCACTGGCCTGGGGCTGCTACACGTTCAATTTATGGCACCATACAAACAAGCCACAGAGATGTTTTGTGTATTTTATGGAATCTTTGTGGTCAGTTTGCCACTTTATGGCACGTTATTTAATTATGGTGCATTACCACATTAATCACACCATAACTAATGTGTGCCAGGGCCCTAGTGTTATTAGACTCCTTGGTCCCTAGCATGCAAGTCCTGTGCATCTAGAGGGGAGAGATTAAGGTAGGCAGGATTTATAGTTATAGTTCTGGTTGCCTGCAGCACCCAGATTTAACACCTGGAGAAAGGGAACCTTTTTGCTACTATCACCCAGCACCTTGGCACAGACAGGGCTCATCAACTCCAAGGCTAACATTTTTCCTCTGAGCCCCGAAAGCAAGGTTCCCAGATCTGCATGCGAATAAGACCTAATTTGCAGAAGAGGTAAGCATCTATAAACCCCAAGACTACAAGTGACAGTGCAGGTTCTCCAAACTTCTGAGTCGGGCTGCATTTACAGAGGACTCTAAACATCAGCCTCCAGGCCTGGCAGCTCCATGTGAAGTATGTTCCACACAATGCTTGCTATGCTATCCAGAGCCTCTAGACAGAGCTCTGATGTGTGGGAATGGAATCCCTCCCACCTTACAGTGAAAAATGAAGGCCTCATTATCACACACATTCCTGTCCCCCAAACTAGCCACGTGGAATATGGGAGCTGTCTCTTTGCTGCCGTCTGTCTGCTTGCCCTTTGGCATCACAGGGCTGCTGAGTCTGGCACAGTCCCAAGTGTCACCTGGGGGCTGTCTCCTGCTAGTGTCACCCACTCCACATTCTTAAGGTGACAAATGGTTACTCGATATGGTGCAGTCCCGTTCCATTTTCCCATCCACATGAATGTTAAGTGGATGGGAATGACAGGTGCGTGACAATGAGAAGTGCCTTCTGCTCATGTTCCTGTACCTCAGGGTCACATAGCATTACCAAACTTGGATCATGCCATGTATCACTTAGGAGTGCCTACTTGATAATGCCTCTTCTAGGTGTCTGTAGTGTCACTTGGGTTGTCCTACCAGAGCAAGGCCAAGGAACACTAAGACATAGGGGAAATTCCTGTGTAGTGAGGCAGTAAGCAAGGAAGACCTACATTCTGGTCTCTCCGGACAACTGCAGCACACAGTGCTGAGCTGCTCCCACCTGGGGATTTTCCTCTACTAGGATTATTGGGATGACCTACTCACGTACAGGAGAGGAAGTGCTGGGAGCCTGGTCCAAAGTCCCGGTGGGCATCCTGGAGCTGTTTCAGCCGTTCATTTACAGAGGTCTGCAAAGAAGGGAAGCTGGAATTTAAAGTGAACCTACCCTGTATCTCAGCATAAAGCACTGTTCTTGAGGCACTGTATATGGACTCAGACAGGCCACTGTAATGCTCTACCTGGGGATTATCCAGGGCAACCAACAAGCAAAGATGCATGTACCTGTATCCTCTGCCTTTCTAGGCAATCCTTGCATTCTCTCTCTCACAAGCAACCACTCTCTTTTCTCCTTGTGTGCCATCTTTCTATGGCACAGCAGCTGTCCTGATTTACAATAGCTGAGAGGTTTCTAAACTCCTCCATGGCCCCCTTGATCTCCACCTATTCATCCCTGCCCCTGCAAGGTGGCCTCTGTTACCTTGACTTAATTCACCATCCTATGAACAGCCCCTTCCTTTAACATCTCCAACTACTGTTGGCTTCTCACAGGACACCCCGCTTCTCTACCTGAAGCTGTTTCCACCGGGTGTTGATCTGCTCCAAGGCTCGAGAGTTCTCCATGGATAGATGAACATCAGAGATAGCAAGCTGGTGTGCAAGGTCATTAACTAGCTTCACTCCATCCTTCATAGGGGAGAGCTCTTCCTTAAACAGCTAGAGCCCAGTCACCCAAAAACAGCAGAAACAGGAAGGAAAGAGAAAAAACACAGCAGGTCACTCAGTCAGCCACCCCATACCACTCAAGTGGCCTCAGCCAGCTGGGGCACACTAGCAGCTGGCACTGCATAGCAGAGAAGTATGGCATGACTAACGCCCTTTTTCCTCACTGAGCCTGCCAGAAAACTCAGCACATATAGCTCAGACAAAGCCTGCCTGCCAGGCTGGAGGTATGAACACTACTGCTACCTGGAATCAAGTCCACTTGCTTAAAATGTTCATCCTGATGAACAAACCATTAGTAAAAGTGATTTTTGTTTGCCCCACCCAGACAGGCAACCTTATCAGGGTTTGAACAGACACCATGAAGGAACATTCTCCCTTAGAAAAGACCTCAGGAGGATCTATCAGTGTGAACAGCAAGAACCCAAATTATGTGCCAAAAGCAGTGGAGTCACACAAGGGATGAAGTGATGTCTGTGGTTTTATCAGAACCTGGATAAAATTTTGATACAGTCCAATCTGGGCAATACAAGCAGGTTGGATTGCATGGTAGGAGGAAGCAAAATTGTTGAGCTGAAGGCTGTTCCAGAGAGCAGCACTTTCTCTCCACAAGGACAGGGAAAGGGGGTCCTGGCCAGAGGAGCTGTACCTTGGTTGCTTGGATGTGGTCTGGTAAGGAATCAATGAAGAGGTCCCCAATCGGTTCCCAGGTTTCCCGCACACTTTCTGCCTGGTCCAGTGTGGTGCTAAGTTCCTCCATGGCCCCCTTGATCTCCAGCAGTTGTTCCAGGGTCCGTTCAATGTGACGGTGCTGGTCCACACAGCGAGCAGTGAGCTTCTCCCACAGCTCACTAGCCACATTTGCCTGCTTCCACACAAAGCGGCTGATGTTCTGGATCCGATGCCGGGGTGAGACATCTACCAGCAAAGCAGCAGAGACACAGAGAGCAACTGTGAAATTCCAATCCTAGTAAGAAAACCATGGAAGACATGAAGAGGGGAAGACATGCAGGGTGATGAGGAAAGACCCAAAAAACAGGAAGCAAGAGGGGAGAAGTCAGAGAGAACAGGGAAGAGGGGAAAATAAAGGACAGAGAGAAAGCAAAGAGGATGATTTCAGGACATGCTCAGGCTTACAGCTCTGGACTGCATGTTCCAGCCACCCCAGGTGCCAGAGTCACATACTGCCTGTCCACAAATGTCTGTATGAACATGCAGAGGCTTTGGCCCACAAGGCCAGGCTCCCTTCCAGAAGTTTGCCTGACATTCTAACATGGTACAGCAGACATCTCACTGAATCCAACAACCAGAGCACTACAGCACAGCCTGGTACTGCAGCTCTGACAAAGGACCAGAGGTGCCTGGGGTGACACAGTAAGTTAGGAGGGGAGCCATGCTGCACATCCACTGGAGGGCTAAGACAACCCTTGACCAGCCATCCGAACACCACTGCCCCTGGCAAAACAGCACCAGATGGCAATGGTCTGAGCATGAGCTTCAGAGCTTGGCCCATTAGTGAAACTGCCCCAATTTCCTTGCAAGGCAGGGGAGTATTATTCTGCTTGTACATAGGAGGAAGCTAGAGCAGAGACTCAGTGACTTTCCAAAGGTCACAACGCAAGTCATTGGGAGTCATGTACCAGTCAGAGCAGGGATCTCAGCACTCAGGCAAAGGGCCCTGTTGAGCATGCTGGATCCCCTCACACCTTACAGTACAGGAATTGCCAGCAACACAGGCATCTCCTGAGGACAGCATGAATACATCTGCCTCCAAGCAGCAAAGCGAGAAACGGCAGACTGAGCCCTTCCTCCCTCCCAGCAGCCTGCGTTGGGATGGCAAAAAGACAAGAAACCTCCCACAGGAGCCAAGCCAGACCATTATCAGAACTCTTTTGGGGTTCAAGTGGGGTTCAGCTCAGGAGCTGGAATGTAAGTTCTGTTTGCCAGAAAGTGGCACCTCATCAAATCCCATTCAGTGCCCTCACCTGCACCTGCCTAGATAACACTGGTCACTCTCAGCATGTCACAGTGCTATATCACATCCTGTGGAGATTATGCCCCATCCCAACACAGGATGCACCAAGGTCATCATGATGTGGCAGAATGTGCTTGATGCTGCACATTCTGCCACATCACATTCATTCATTCATGCCACATGGTAGTATATAATCATTACACCCCTTCCTAAATACACACTGTGAGTCATCTCCTCTCACAATTATACCAGGTGGGATTGAAAAATGATGGCACATGGACACAGGGACAAGGATGGGAGGTGTCACAGACCTTTGCTTTCAGAATTTGGTTCCTCTAATTCTTCAAACGGATGCTGGGAAAGGAAGGCCTGTGCTGACTCCAGGACTGAATAAATATAGGGACCCCGAGACTTCACCTCTTCCATGAAAGCCTGCAAATGTACAGCACAACAAAAGGAGACAGCAGTCTGTGTTAGAGAATGAGAAACCTGCCTACTCTCAGCTGAGAGCTGTGCATCAATCTACTCACTCCAGTGCACAAATGAGCTACCAGCACTGAGCTGTAACAGGCATGTTAAAGAACCTCTGCCTGAGAAAGTGGTACACAAGCTCCTTCAGTGCTATAAAAGGATAGTGAGCTGAGAAACATCCTTGGGATTCAAGAAAGACAGCAGTCCAGGAGGAGATACACTGTGGGAAGGTCTGTAGATCAAAGGTCTGTCTGAAATGGCCAACTACTGGTGTGCCCTAGAGTGTAAACTATTAAAAAGTCCTTTGGATCATGCTTGAGATCAAGCAAACAGGATCGGACTTCAGAAGAATGTCAAGAATGTCAAGTTGCCTTGAGCGTGCCCAGACAAAAGCAGCTCTACCTTCCAGACAGCTAGGATGCTTACAGCACATTAGGGAACTGAATGTGGTAACTGAAGCTCAATACCCCATTGCAGAAGGTCATCAGCTGTAGGATACGTGTTAAAGAAAATAAATCAATAAGGCAGATTTATTTTCTTTAACACGTATCCTACAGCTGATGACCTTCACTTGTTAGACACTGGGGGAAATATGGGCTGGAACTTTCCTGGAAAGCACTGGCTCTGCCTTCCTAAGGCAAGCAGGGAAATATGTGATCAAGACCCTGTGCATGGACATGGAGAATGACTGCTACACCTATGGGCACAGACAGTCAAACAGGCTAAGAAACCCAAGCAAGGTCTGGTGCTTGGGATCCATACCAAGGAACCTGGACGTGTTCCAGCTGGTAAGAGAGGGCCGGGAAGATGCAAGAGCTGAGAGAAAGCCTGGAAACATACTGCGTGAGTCTCTTTCTCCTGCTGCACCAGGAGTACATCTCCTCGGAGTGGCAGCTGAGCTGACAGCTCCTCATCCTTCTGACTGAGCCAGTCGATGATCTCCTGCAGGGGGAGCTGCAGCTTCCCGCTGTGGTCTGAAAAGGCCTCTAGACGAGCCCTGGAGAAAAGAGGGGGGTCAGAGGACACAGTCACAGATAATGAGAGTTGACAGGGATCAGCTGCTTTTCACATCAGTAATGGTGGCCTATGCACTGGGTCTCTGCAGCCTGCCTCTCTAAGGGCAACTCTGAGCCTGCTCCAACAGAGGGCAGGGGACTGCCCCTAAGGAGAGGCAGCAGGCAGGAGTGTGAAGACACTGAAGAGTGACTTTACCTTGCATTGCACTGGTGTTAGGCTGGGAGAGAAGGGCTGTTTCTGCTCAAGGGTGACAGTGGGGACCTGCACTGCCATCTCACGTAAAGAGGGCCCCCTTCAGTGTGGGATTATCAGTGCTGGCAGGCCTGGGAAGCTCCCAGACTCCTTCCAATCTTGAACTGAGGGTGGAGGGGGAGAGCAGAAGAACCTGCCCTGGATTCATGCATGCTCAACACCCTGAACTCTAGCTATGCCTGCACTGTCGGTGCTTAGCTGGAAGTTGTAGAAAGCTGGCCCATTTCCATGAGTCTGTGCATTAAGACAGTACACAATTAACATGCCCCAGTTAAACTCTCAACAATGCTGGCTGCAGATCTGCAACCTCAGAAAGCCACAACACAGCACATCCTGCAAGGGTCAGGGGAAGAGCCTGGTAAGAAAGGTCAGGCCAGGCAGGGAGGTGGAAAGACGGTAATGGACTCCTGAAACCTCTTCTCTTGTCCTAAAGGGAGATCATACACAGTGAAGGATTACAACAGAGGGAAAGAATGAGGCAGGTAGGAAAGAGAGAAGAGATGAGATATAAAGAGAATGCCAGGGGGAAAGGAGGAGCAAAAGCACAAACACATGAAAATGAAAAGAAATACATTTCAAGCAGAGGATACATGTCAGTGACTCAGAGCATTCCTGGGTTTACAGGCCAGAAGGGAAATAGATCTGAGGTCACTGGGACCTTGGGTGGCCAGCTATGTGAGCAAGATCAAAAAGCTCATGTCCAACATCTCCAGCAAGCAAGACCCCCAAGCAGACACAGGCCAGTGAACATGCTCCATGCAGAATCCTACCGAAGGCTGTGGGATTTCTTTTTGATCTCGTTCCAGCACAGATTCATCTCCAGAGCAGTCTGGAGCTTGACAACGCTCTGTGGAGTCTGCTGGGTTATGCTGGGCAGTCCTGCACCATCTTGAACAGCTTTAACCTAGGCAGAAACACACACACATCTGACAGATCACCCTCAAAGAGAGCTCATAAGGCTAGTGCCATGCTGAGATCTACCACTGATTCACCGGGTCTTCTTAGGCCTGTCCATTAACCTTTGTGTGCTGTGCCCCAGCTTCCGTAAAAGGGGATAGAAACTATTTTACATCTCACAGGGGCTCAGGTTGTTAATAATGTTTAGAACATTATGAGGGCTTGGAAGAAGGATGCTATAGATCCATGTGACACAGCATACTTCAAGGTGTGCAGGGCCTTGTGTCTATACTCCCAGACATCATCAGACTGATATCCCAGCATCTCCTTGTTATAGTGCAATAAACTGGCTGGTGTTTGCCACCAGTGCCTTCTACTAGACTGAATGAGAGTGGCTCGGCTGCGTGTCGCAGACCCCACACTGCTAACAGCATGCAAAGACTCCCTTGTATCCCTAGTGGCACGAGCCTGTGCTTTGGGGGTGGGAGGATCACCACCACCGTGCAGTCCTGTGTGACCCAGGTGTGAGGCAGTGACAGCTGGGAAGTCCAAAGTGACCACAGATGTGTTACAACAAAGTCCCTGTTTTGTGCTGTCTGGCAGACCACAAGCTTTCACCTCCACAGACAGGAGACAGCAGGGGAGGACACTCCCTGACTATTAGGAAGCCAAGGCTATGCTCCCTCTCTGCACCCACCCCAGAATGAAGACTGGGCATGAATTCCAGTGAGACATGGTCACAATTAAGCCACATGAAAGAGAGATTGTTTCAGCACTTGTTCTCATTCAGAGTCCCTTTCACCAGAGGATCCCCAAGCACTTTATAGTCATTAATTCAGCCTGACAATCCCCCAGGATCTGAGGAAGCAATATCCCCAACATACAGGCAAGGAAACTGGGGCACTGATCAAACAAGTGATTCTCACAGTGAATCAGCAGCAGTCAAGAAAGAAACCATGTCCCTTGCCTTCCCCTCCTCAGTTATGACCATTAATTCCTTTCACGCCAACAACAAGGGAACAGTCCCTCCTCACTGGAGACACTGAAAAACCAATTCAGATGCAACCCAGTGTCACACAGACACACACACACACCGCGTGTTGGGGTTCTGTGGGGAGAAGCCTGGTATTTCCTCACTAGTAGAACACCTTGTTGCCAAAAATGTACGAACCTTCAGGATTTTTCCAGGTGGGAAGTGGCTGTGGTTCTCAGAAAAGGCAACATTTCTCTCCCATTCCAATTTGTTAGCCAGGCTCCCAAGTGGCAGTCAGTACCAGGAGCCCTCTTCACCATAGAGTACACGCTCCACAGACAGAAAGTGCTTCACAAAAGAAGTGTGGCCATGCCTAGGGGGAGTGGCAGTTATTGAAGAGAGCACTGAAGGAGGCAGCAGCTCATAGTTTGCCTTTGCGGTGGCTCATGCTACACATGCAAGGCCATTAATATCGTAACAAAACTCCAGTCACCCAGAGCCATCCTGTTGCTGCCGCTGAAGTCATTCTGAACTTCATGGTGGGAGTGGGATGGGAGTTCTGCTCTCCCATGAGGATAAGGTCCCTTCACCCCTCAAAGCAGGGAAGGGAACCATATCCAACATGAACATCAGGCAGAACTGAGCTGCCTACATGACAGTGTAGCCAGGTCACTATGGTAACAGTCACAGCTCCCCAAAGAAGCACGGGGGATACTGAATGGTCACAGAAGGGGAAGGTGCACGATTTTATGTTTCATCAGAAAACATTTAATTTTATGGCTTCTCAGTCGGCCATGGTATTTCCAGGGACATCAAGCAAGCAGAGAGAAAACCATCAAACGCTATAGCACAGGAGGCTCAGAAAGAGAGACAGAAATCATTCAAGCTAAAATTCACACCTGCATATAGGAAATAAATACACTTCACGTGCAAGTACACACAGCACCAGAAAAGAATGGAGGTTAGCCCTGCATGTCCCCCTGAGAACAGAGGACAGCCTCTGTCCCAGGGGAAAATGCAAAAGGATCAGGGCTGAGCTGGGGCAGCTGTGTAAATAATCCTTCAGGAAACATCATCCACTCTTGCCTAATTTAGAAAAAAGTCCACAGCATCCGTGGCTCTTCAATACATCCTAGCGATGACCCACAATGACAGCAGCCAGAGAGTGGGGGGGAACAAAGCATTCCTACAGCAAGCACCAGTTCACAATAGCTGCAGCTGCAGCGGTGCCTGGATGGCTGGACCCTTCTCCCCTCAAAACTGAGACACATCTGAAGAGGTTTATTTTCAGACAACACATGCACGATCTTCCCCTACCTGTGCAGAGCCAGGGATCCATGGCATGGCTGCTTGGCAACACCACAGGAGAGAACATTGCACCTCAGCTCTTGCCGGGCCATCAGTTAGCTCCAGACAGACCACAGCAGGAGGCGGCAAACATCCCGTTCAAGGAAGAGACACAGTGTGCCAGGGCCAGGAGCGGGAGGGTGAGGAGCAGGGTGGGAAGGCTGAGAGGAGCTTGTGGCTGCTGCCCTGGTCACTGACCCCCCAGGAATCCAGAGGGGGGTGGCAACAGCAGCCGCTTTGCCGTGAATCACAGCTTTGTCCCGGTGGAATTCCACCTCCCTCCAACCTGCCTGTGCCCCCACGGGTGCAAGGACAGCGGTTTGCGAGGGCATGAGGAAAGGAAAGAGAGGCTGTAGCACACGGGTGTGAGAAAGAGACCTGACTGCACTGTGGAAGAACCTCTCCCCCCAGCACCAGCCCCATTCAGAGACAGCCCCATAGACAGAAGAAAAAACAGTGCTGGAGAAGGGGTGCCCACAGCACTAGTAAAGGCAAAGCTAAGTGAAGACAGGGCCCCTGGAGCAGCAGTGCAGGAGGTTTCCACCCCCTGCCAGGTGGTAGGAGTGCTGGGATGTCAGAGTTAGCTGTCAGATGAAAGATTCCCAGAGACAAAGCACACACAAGCTTTCAGCTCCAGGATAGTAAAGGCATAGGGAGGAGCTGGGACATCCCAGAGCACCCAGGCAGTGTGGAGGTAGCATGGTGGGATTGAAATAAAAGTTCCTTGGGTTCTATTATATGAGAATGAGAAGGGGTGGGAAAAAGACTGCCCTGGATGAGCTGCAGAAGTGTCCTACAGCCATCAGTGCCCTTGCTAATTATCAGTGGAGAAGTGTCTCATCTTGGCTCACTCTTCTAGGAGGGGAAGCAGAAACTACCATGAGTTCCCCAATGGGGTACCACCACATGTGCACCCTGCATGGGCAGTCAGGGCCTCCTTTAAGGACAGACATAACCCCCCAAGCCATATTCACTGCTCTCCGGGCAAGCTGCTGGGGCACCCCCATCCCAATGCCCACACATCAGTGTGAACATTCCTGGGCATGGTTCACACCCCTCTGAGCCAGGCAAAAACAGTTTGTTTTTGCCAGAAGGATTCTGTCCCTGTCCTCTTGAGTCTCCCACAGAGGTCTCAGGAGTTCCTGCAGCTTGGCATTGTTTCCATGCTCAGTTCCTCCTACAGGAATGCTATGAAAAGCGCCCTGTATCATTCCCTCTCCTCCCCTCCTTCCTCTGCCTGTGTCCCTGTCGGTCTGTGGAGCTGACTCTGCCACTGAGCCCTCTGCTCACTCTGCCTGCCTGCCCCCTCTACCTGTGCCTTCTCCCACCACCCCTCTCTATCTCTACCCATTTGTCTCACCCTCTCTCCATTGGGTTGCCCTGATTGATCCAGGGGCCTCTCATACTGACTGAATTGGCAGGTTGCACATGGGAGGTTCAGAGCTGAAAATCACAGCTCCCCATCGTGGTGGGAGCCCACTGTAAAGCAAGGACATGAGCATAACCAGCTCCCCTGATGGGCTATGCTGTGGCAGGGCAGACACCACATGCTTCTCAGCAGACAGAAGACAGAGAATTTACTCACACCAGTGACTTGCAAGCAGAGAAAGCCAATTGCCTGGCATTACACACCCTGGCATCTGTGCAGCAGAGGGCTGGATTTGTTGTAGGAGCCAAAGTCAGGAGAGATCTGTGGCAAGCAATACACAAGCCCAGAGTATTTTCCTATGAGTAGGCCTCAAACATCAGTCTCTCTACAGACTGCTACTTGTTTCAAGCATCTGTAAGACAAGGCTTGTACCTTTCCCTATTTAATTGCTCTCCCTCTCCTCTCCTTCCTACCCCCAAATCCACCCTGATAGAGGGTTAGATAGACTGTCTGGACTGATCTTCTGCCTGCCCATAGTGGGGGAAAGCCAGTTGAAGAGAGTCGCTTGCTTTTTGCCCTCCCTCCCTCTCACCTTCCCAGTTACTCCTTGTTGAATCTACTGGGTTGTTTGAGCTTGCTCACATGCACTTCCTAGTGCTAGCTATCGAACAGCCACCCCTAGTCGATAAGCAGTGAGTCAGAACAAGCTGGGCCCATCTGTGATCTTCACATTTACAGCCCAGCAACTGAGGGGCTGGTTCACACAGATAGATGCCAGCTTCTCACATCTCCACGTTCTCCTTCTGGAGTTGTGGCTCTCCCAGGTGAGGCAGGCCACACTTTAAAGGCAAATACACTGTGCAGCTAACACAAGGCCAGCTCTGGGCTCCAATCTCAGCTCCTGACTTTCTGAAGCCAGCAACTCTGGTAATGCTGAGAAAAAAACTATTCAGGCCAAAGGGGCCTAGCATCTCTCTGAAGGCAGCATTGCCACTGTTGGGCACAGCCAAGTCCAGCAGCCTGTAGGTGACAGAAAAGGCTCAGTGACACTATGTGAATGGACAGTGAAAGGGAAATGAAGCTTTGTAGCAGACCAGCAATATGGAGATACAGACAATTCTCTGCAATGGGGTAAAGCCCTGGCTTACTCAGCTTGGTTCTTTTTTACAGACAAGTCACCAGCAAGCCTCAGACAGCTCAGCACAAGAAGTGCAAGGTAGATACACAGCTAGTGATTCTAGATACAGCCTATGGGAGGTGTGCACAGACCAGAGCCCCTCCATCAAGATGGCTTCCTCTTCCTGACAGACACAGACAAGAAGAACACCTGTCTGCTCCAAAGCTCAAGGCTGGGATTTTCACAGGCTAAATCCTGAAATCCCAACATCCAGTGCTGCCAATACCCCAAGTGTTCAAAAATCAAGAATCTGGCCCCAATAATCTTGGTACTTAAAGACAGTGGGCACCTTCTTTGCCTTTGGATTCCAGGACCTTTACACTATACCTTAGTCACATTTGTTCACTCTGTGAGCATTAGAAGCTTGCTTTTCAAACACCAACAAAAGGAAACTTGAGATTCTCCTCAAGTCACACAACTCCAAGAGCTGGAGTTTCAAGGGAAACACCAAATATTGCAAGAAGTAGCAACACAACACAACCAACCCACTGCCCCTCTCCCAACACACACAAGATACAGCGAGGGAGGTTTGATATCCAGAATGGGAACCAGCCCTGCCTGCCTGCCGTCTCTAGCTGAGAAAACACTGTGCAGTTGGACGGTGTCACGTGGGTGCAAAGTGTTCTCATGCGGTGAAAGCTCAGGGTGGTGGCAGAGGAGCTAACAGCTGCCCTACAACCAAGACTGAGAGAGATGACCATTTGCTACAAATTAAGATATTTGGTGACTGAAATTAAACAAAGTGTTATTCCACAAGCTTGGCACCCTTACCTGAGACTGTGGGTGAGCAGTGCTGCTGTGATCTGACAGGTCTGCTGCGTGCCACTCATGACATCGTGGGAGAGCGTAGGGCCATTCCTGCCTGACCATCGGCTGCATCAGAACAGAAGTTCATGGGGATGGAGATAACTCTGGGCCCAGGCACCTGAAACACAATGTGAAAGCCATTGGACCAGCTCTCATATCCCATCATTCTGGGAGCCGGCTGGAGTTCAGCCAGAGAACTAGACATGCACAGTAGACAGTTCCAGATGCTTCTGAGGACAATGCAATTCCTCCACAATGCACGCACATGCATTATACAGCATCCTGGGCCAAGACATGACTTCCTGACCCCTGCCGCTGACCAGCTTCCATCCTGATGCCTGAGGACTAAAAGGACTCATGGTTTTTATCCTAGAGCTAGTGTTACCAAAAATGCTATGTTCCTTTTCATAGCAAAATCTTATCCTTTCTTAAAACTTAAAAAGCAATTTGCTTTAACAAAATCCTGGGGTAGTGAGTTCCATGCTGTAAAACTGCTCTTTTCCTTAGACTACAAGTGAAAGAGTGCTGTAGTGCTTTAAAAATGGGAGGAGCCACAAATTGCCAGGGGCACTAGGAGCACTGTCTGCATTTATGCTCAAGTGTTTCAAAGTGTATTATTCCTGCCCCTCAATAATTAGAAGGAAGATTAATTGTAGGACTAGTCTACAGCCCCAGACACATGCATGCACTACAGTGTAGCCAAGTGCTCCATAACGAACCAGCAAGACAGGGCATTTTTTAAATGTATAAACAAAATAGCTTACACTGGTGTCTCACTCATTGCACTTACTCAATCTTTACTTTTGGTCATTACACTGCTTCTAAACTTCAGTTTACACAGCAAAGCACAATAAACTAGGAACCTTTCTTTGAATAAGGACAAAAATATTCTACAGACCCAAGTACTGCAACTTATGTTCCAAAGGGAAAAAGAACAAGATAGCAGCTTGAGCAGTGCATAGGTTGCATTATCATAATGTGTCCTTCCATGGCACATTCACAGAAGAAGCTCACTGTGCTTTACAACCATAAACAAATGCTCACAGCAACCCATGAAATGGTGATCTTTACACTGTTCCAGTCTATGAAAAGCTAAGGTAAAGCTAATACACACACATTTTATGATTTGCCTAAGGTTGCAAAACACTGGACAAGCTGGGACACAATAATTGCAACTTTAAGCTCAGACAGCACCAGTGCCAGGAAAGGAGCAGATCAATTGATTTATAACTAAAGGGGATTCATTTTGTACAGAATTAGCATATAAAGGATATGCATACCATATCAGCCATACAGGTCTGGCACTCTAGGGGTTAAGGCCTTGGGAAACAGAGTAATGTCTGAGCACTGCAGACAAGGGGTTAAGCCTGCCCACTGCAGCATTGAAGCATTCTTCTTTCTAAGGTTTGACCCACACCTCAAAGCTGTTCCCCCCTCCCTCAAGAAACAATATGGCTTCAGCCAGTAGCCATTACTTTCAAGTGATAATGGGACTGTTTCAAAGGTAGTCTGTGAGAGAAAAAGGAGAAGTAACACAGTTTGAAGAAGGTGCAGCTGCCTCCCTTGGGGCAGATGCCTGTCACACATGGCCCCATTCAGAACAAGTGAGGAACTTTCTGATGGATTCTCAAAGAACAGAAACAGGTAGCATACTCTGCAAAGGCTCCAACAGAATTGGACAGGTTGGCAAGGAGAAAGTCCCCAGGCCATAGCACTTTTTGGGTCTTTCCTTTCTCTATTCCTTTATTCAGTTTGCTTCCACTCTTGCAGTCTCCCTTGACCATTGCACATATTCAGAGTACAGCTCATCCTATTATACTTTCTTAAATTTGTTAGCAGTTACTGGACCCATAATTTCCTCCATGTCCAGTGAAACAACCAGTTTTGATCTGTCCAACATACCAATAACCCGTCTTGTCACCTAACTTCCTGCCCATCTACATGGGCGTTGGATATATACTGAAGCTATCCTGTACTGGTCCTGGATTCTTCTAACTCTCCTCTTCAACCCTGGAGGGAGTTATATAGGTAACACATCTATAGCTAGTGCTCCAGGCTCTTCAGAGCTTTCTGAACTCAGCAGTACCTTGTGTACTCCAGTGAAATGATCAATGACTTCTGCCTAATGCATTAGCACTGCTAGGATCTGGATTCTCCCACTTGTCCCACACGCTACCTCTTTGACAGCTCCTGACAGAATAGGATATGTGCTGCTCCTCCTGCTTTACATTTACCTCTGAATGGTACCAGCCAAGCAGGTCACTTAGTGGGACTGAAATTCAGAGGGCCTGGATATCTGGGCATTAGTCTATGTTGCACGCTATTGTACAGCTGGAAAAGCAGAGTCCTTGCACCAATAAGAAAGTCCACAGTGCAGTCATTGTGGCTGCAGTGCAAAGGGCTGCCTGTGTTTTCCTCAGTTTCCTAACGAAATAGCCTCTGTTGCACAGTACGATGGAGATACAGTGAGACATTCTGGAGCCAGTACTTAAGCAGCCACCCTGCAGGAAGCAATGCCCGCCACTCACTCTGGAACATGCAGTCAATAGAGCTTCCCATTCCAGCCATACTGCGATGTAACACGTGCAGCTTTAAGGATATAACCCTCACATTCCTGCACCTTGCTTTTGCCGCAACCCTTATGCAAGGGACAGACGCTGCTTTGAGGTGAGGTCACGGGGCTAATTCTGGGGCTGGTGGATATACTTTGGCTCCATGATCCCTAGGAGATATATTGACAGCAGAATGGCTAGGTCCACCCAACTCCTCATAGCTGCTGGATTCAGTCATGTACACCTCAGAGTCACGTGAATCAAGCACAGCTCCTCCTGGAGCCCTCTGCAACAGTACGTGGAACAAAAGCTTTTCCGACTCAGTGGCCACAGAACTAGATGGGGTTTGAAGTACAAACGATAGTCCTAACCATTTGATGCCTGCACCACAACCTCAATTGTGTCCTAGGAAAATCAGGCAGATTCACTGCAACACCTGTCCACACCATTTTAAGGCAAGGATTCAATAACTCTCAGCCCCTCTGAAGCATCAGTGACAGCATGCACATGGAACAAGAACATATTAGGAAAATAATCAAATGGATTTCCACCCAAGATAGAGAAACAGACATTCAGCGGAAGGGATTAGGCTGCCGTAAGGACTTAGGGGTGAAGTCAACAGGCAGATAAAATCATTTGACCAGTCAGCTGTCCATTGAACACCAGCAAATGGACTTCTGGCACCTGTGAATACATGGACTATGGTGGTACTATTGAATTACAAGGGCACTTTAAAAAAAGATTTAACAGTGGACATGATAATAGCTTGGTTAAGAGGACACTCCAAGAAGAAAGGGCAACTTCAGATGTTCAAAGACTGTTCACATGAAGGAAGAAAAAAAGATAACACTTAGGGTGACAAGAGCAAAATAAGAAGCAAAGAGTGAAATTAAATAGGGGATACTTAAGTTGACTAATAGGATGAGAGCTAGTTCTAGGATGTTATAGAACTGCCTCCCATGGGAAGGGTGGCAGCCCCTTCAATCAAGCTATTTAAATGAGACTAGACAGGTTAAGCTACTGTATTGCAGAAACAGCCCCACACTGTAGGATGCTGCAGCTTTGCATCAGCTGAGAACCCTCCCATTTCTCCATGGCATGGTCCTGTAGGGAGAGTGCTTTATAGATCCACACCCAAGTGGAAGAGACTGAGAATGAACGCTTTTTGTGAGGTTAGATAAGTGATCTCTACATTGGCCTTCTGTACACAGAGAATCATAGAAGCATTTTCTTGGTGACAGTTCCAGGGTCCTGCCCTCACTCTAAAGGCACATGATAGAATGAGGCATGGGTAGCCCAACCGCATTTGTGTAGCTGCTCATGCACTGGGGAGTGCTAAGAAGCCTACAGCTTTGCTATAAAATCCCCTTCCTCAGTCATTCCTAGGGATCTATAAAAATAGCCTACTAATACTGCACAGAGCTACATTCACTAATCACTCTGTAGGTTCTCACCCTACCAGAAGGGTCCAGGAGCTGTCTGATGGTCATGCTACTAGCAAAGGTTAGAGGGAACAGGAGGAGATGCATACACTGTGAGCATGTGGACACACGTACAGCTTCCACCTCAGCTAAGTACAGACAGTCAAAAAGCCCGAGGCTGAATCAATTCAATCTTTGCAGGTTTGTCTAAGCTGCATAGATTGAACCAATAAGCAAGTGAACAGACAGTTACTTTTGATTCTGGAAATGCAGCCACATGCCTGCAGTGGCCCAAGCCAGAAGCCAGGAGGTGCTAGAACATAGTTCCCTGCTCAGATGGAGCAGACAGCTTGGACCATGGCTAGCCCACCCACCCTGCAAGGGTGGGGAAGAGGGCTTGCAGGGGAGCTGCAAAACTTCTTGGGATGCTGGGGTACTGTGAGCTAACTTGAATCTGGAGGGGATCTGAAACAGAAGTGTAATAAACTGATTTCACCTAAATCAGTTCAGTCTGATACTACATCCATCCAGGTTTATCTTAAACCTGTTTTGGCCATTTTAAAAGCGGTTTATGTGCAGTGAACTTCTGTTGTTACAGATTTGAATTAATTTCTGATCACTTATCCTGGTTTGTGTGTAATTTCTGTCCCTCCTGGAACAAGATGCTATCCAAACAGTTCATCTGTTCTGCATAGAGGGACTCAGGGAGTTTGTGGCCTGAGACAAAAATTGTGAAAGGACAGTTTTTCCCTTGGCTGCAATATTATACAGGAAAGGGAAGGCTGAAGGCCTTTGTGAACAGGAGTTTCTGAATGTAGAGACACACAAGTGCAGGGCAAAGCCTTTCCCCAGAGGTACATGCCCCCAGTAGTGACACAGGCCTCTCACGTGACACTAACTGGCCCTTTCCCTAGTGGCCAGTGCCCCAGCAGAAGTTGCTGGGCTTATTTCTCCAGGTCACAGTAAGTTTAAAATTACATGCAGACAGCAGTGATACCCATTTCAGGAAGCTGCTCTATGACTTCAAAACACATTTACAATTGAGCCACATTTATTATCAGTTAAAGCTGAGGCAAAAAAATAGACCTGCTGAGAAATAAGGAAGACAAGAATCTTAGTATTACCAGGACACTTGGATGGTGCTG